TTTTAATATCTCTAAAACTCTTTTTCTTGAAAAATATAATATTCCATTCCTTAACAACTCTTTAGATTATATTAATGAATGGTTTAAAAATTTTTTCATTTTATATAATTGTCAATTTACTGAACCTCTTAATGAAACCAAAGTCAAAAATGCATTAAGATTTCAATTGTAATAACAATTTATTAAACATTTTAAAGAACTTCTTTCTGACAAAATTCTTTTTACAAAACCTTATAATCTTCAAGTATGATGTAATGAAGCTATTCGATATACCAACTATTACATTTATATCTGTACTAATTCAAACTGCATATACTTTAATAAAACCAAACTTAAAGCAAATAAAAAAGCAAAAGAAACTATAACTAACACCAACCATTTAGAGTATTAATATTTATACAACTACAATAGTCTTTTTAAAGAAACAATTAACAAATCCTACTTAGAATATCCCAAAACAGAAAGTGAAATTTGGAAACAACCTTAAATTGACTTCTCAATCTTTTACATTAATGGTAAACATGAAGCTATCTTTAAAAAACAAATACTTATACAACTTCTTGATAACTTTGTTACAAAAGCTAAAGAATTTATTTGCTTAAATAATCTAACTAAGCCAAATTCTAAATAAAAAAGCTATTACTTTTATCAATATCTTAAAACCTACCAAGATACAGCTGCACAAAATTATAACCTTGACCAACTTAGTCAACAGCAAGCTATTGACTTTCTTACAACCAAAATTATTGATACAAATTTTTAGCTTAGGTTATTACTTACTTTGATACTAGTGACACTTCTATAAACTTTTTAGAAATTGTCAAACACTATCAAGAAAAGGCATATCTAAAGGCAGAAAAACTTTACAAACTAAATTTAACTTATACTTTCAAGAACTAACAAACTTGGAAGATTTACTCTTCCTTATAGATACTCCTTTTCAATAAATTTCTCTGTAGATCACATTAATGCAGCTACTGTTTTTAAGATTATGATATTCTTTACTTCTAGTAAGTTATTCTTAAAAGAGAATGATGTAAGTAGATAAGTGGTAAAGTTTATTTATACAGATAACCAAGTTTATAATGGCCAGACTCAATATGCAGAGCAGGCTATGGCATTCTTTGCAGCTGTGAGTGCTGAACATATAGTAAGCAAATCTACAGAGGAACAGTTTACTTCTTTGAACCCTATTGCATTATCTTATTTTAAAGAAATATCACAAGACCTATTATATAATAAATTATTAGATCCAGATTCATGCTATAATAAATAGTTAGCCCATCTAGGCCTACTTCTACTTCCATATCCACAAACTCTTTATTTCTTTTTTGAATATATACATCCTTCAATTATACATCACTTAATCTTTACAATTTTACATTAGCAATATCAATTAAACTAAACTATAATAAATGCTATATACACTTATCAAATAAACCAGAACCCTTATCTGACTACTTCATTTCACAATGATCTGGCTATAAATATTATTTATTAATACTTATCCCTTTTAAATATTTTTCAGTAATTAAGAATACACAATATATCAAATCTATTCTCGAAAATAATGCTATAAACTATACCTATATACAACTAATAGAAACTGTCTTATCTGGTCATGATAATATTGTTATTGCTAATAAACACTTTGGCTCTATACAATTTTACACATGCTACAATAAATTTCTAGCTTATAACCACCTTTCACTACTTTTACATCCATAAACAATTATCTTCTTTCTATGACATATTCATAGTTTTAATTATTTACCAAGCAATGCTTGTGACTATACTTCAACTAATTCTATTAAAAATGATTACAGTGAAGCTTATATCTACTTTCCATCTAAATCCAAACTTCTATCCAATCATTTTATTCTACTACTTCAAGCTATTTGGCATTATCTAAACATTCTACTAAAATTATATATAACAGAAACTGACTTTTTTAACTTAACAAATCAATATACTACAACATTAATACTAAACTTACCTTCTACATCTTCAATAGCACTTCAACAATCTTCATCTCTCCCCACTTCTTTATCATCATTGCTTTATCAAGACTTTATACAAACCACTCATCTGACCTCTCACTCAACTTAAACATTGCAACTTATAATATTTAAGGTTTTAATAATCCAAAAAAGAAGCTCTTAATAAAAGAATATTGCCTTTAAAATAATCTTTATATAATTAGCTTAACTGAAACCAAAATTGCAGAAACCAAAAACAAAAAGTTCTACAATAATCATCAATTCTCTTATTACTAGTCAAACTGCTCTATATCTAAAGAAGAAACATGTATCATAATTAAAAATAACCTACAATCACATATTTATAATATTTTTAACCATCTCAGTAGGGCTATTGCAATAGACTTTTTCTTTAAACATGACTACAAATTTTGAATAATCTCAACATATCTATTATTAACAAACAATCTTGCTCATCAACAAACTCAATCCTCTATTATCACATAGATACAACAAGCACTTTAGCTACAATTATACATAATTATTCTTGGTGATTTCAATTTATTAATCCAAACTACTATATTGAATATAGCTAAATATCAATTACTAAACTATTTATATAGTATTAATATGTATAACTTGGCAAATTGTATAAATAATACTGATACTACTTGACAAAGTAATTGATATACTAGCAGAATTGATTACATATAGGCAAGTGAACTTATGATTATATTTCTTAATAGATTTATATTGATGACTTATCATGGATTACTAATAGTAACTATTAAATGCTTATATTACAATAGACTTTTCCTTTTGCAATAAACAAACCTAAAAAGAAAAATAAATTAAATGTAAAACTTTTAACTATAAAGCAATAACTAATGAAAAATAGAAAGATTTTTTAAATCAAATTAACTCTTATATGTACTAATACAAAATTTTTGCAGAAATAGATATTACAATGTTACTAGAAAAATTTTAGCACAAAATCTATACTTATATCATTAATGCAGCCTTACAACACATTTCTAACAAAAAACAAACAATTAAATACTCCTTTCACACCTTTAGCCCTAAAGCAACAGCTCTATACAAAGATCTTAAACTTATCAAAAACATTATTTATAGAGTTAAAAATCTCATTTAAACAAAACCTTGCTATCTTTATATACTCTAAAATATGGAAAATACATAATTGAACAACTGACTAGACAAGCTATTAAAAACATCTGTAATGCACATATAATCACTATGTGCTCATTACAACACCGCATGAGCAACATTATTCCATTGTCATCACAAATTGACTGGAACATAACATGGTTATATCTTAATAACAATACTAAATGAACAAATAACTACACTAATTTCTTACTCAATCAAAGCAAATCATTTAAGATTAAAACACTACTTAATATTCTACCAACACTACATCACCTTCATGAACTATATCCAGATAGCTTTCAGCACAACAACTGCATTACTTGTCAGGCATCAGAACATCTATTGCATTGGCTACTTTGCCCTAATCCAACAAATCTTACCAGTATTATTACAGAAACAATTTCTAAAATCATTAACAATAGCTCACTACTAGACATTACGTAATTACAATTACAACAACTAATCTATTTACTAACTCAACATAACAGCCTATTAATCAACAATGCTCATCAAGGACAAAGCAACATATATACAACACTACAAGGATATGTCCCAACAGATCTAATTACCATATTTAGACCTTATACTACATCTCATCAAACCACAACTTCAATAACTACTAAACTGCTTACCAAAATATCACAAAAAATATATGATTGTATATAAAAACCATATGCCACTAAATTAGCATAATGGAAAAAAGACAACAACATTACATCAAATAACAAAGTTATAACTCACAGAAAATCTTATAACTACTCTAATCAATATCGCAACTTATACTATACAGTCTGCCAACTGTGTGGTCTGTCTAACCAACTTCATACAGAAGATAACAACTGCCCATCACTAGGAAATGCACTTCGTAAAATTAACCTTTGGTCTATATACTGGATACTATATAGCTACTCTACAAACAATATCTTATATTATCAAATCTAGGTGAGTTTTAACTATTCTAGTAGGTTTAGGTTGCAGATAAATTAGATAAAAATCTGTCTATAGTTTGAGCTCTATTCTTGTAATATATTTGTAATTGAAATAAGTTTGTAATTTATATCCAGAGAAGCCTCTGGAGGCTTTGTTAACAAATCAATAAAGATATAAGCAAAACCTTACCTTAAAAAAAAACAAAAAAAAAAAACAAAACAAAACCTTGCTATTTCTACACAAACTATAATTGATATTGATACTATCAATTACAAACACAACTTTAATATTTCAAACCTATCTGAAAACTCTTTACTATTATCACAATGAATTAATAATGCTAAGCAAGCATGAAAAGCTTTTTTTCATACATATAGTATTGAACAGTGTTGGCAGATGACTTTAAATAACCTATATGACCTCTATGACCTGTCATAAGTTATTTGGTCATAATGAATATTGATATAACTTATAACTTTTTAATATAGAAAAATTTATAGCAAAAATTTTTTTTACTATTATTTAATATAACCTATATATATGACCTATGACAAGTCATATAATTATATAACTAAGGTCATATTAAAAAAATATTATGACTTAGGTCATTTGCCAATACTGGTATTGAAAATATTTAAAACCTTAAACAGCATATCAATATAGCTATTAATAATAGATGTGAATGACTAATAACACAACCTACTAAAATGATAAATAGTAATCTTAATAGACATACAGATCTAGTACATTTTTACAATATTAAAACTGATAATAGTGTTATAACTAATCCTACTGAAATACTTCAACATATTTAACAACACTTTTAATACTAGACCTAACACTAACCTATTAATACTATGATATTTAATTAATATTAGAGAGAAGAATACCAATCTAAACAGTCCATCAATTGCAACTGGTATGCCTAGTAATGAAACTTTTGAGTTTTTAGTTAGTAATAAAATAATTAATAACCCATTATTAATATTATTAATATTAATAATTCGATTAATGTTAATAAGTAGTAATAGGGCTACGGAGGTTAAAAATAAATCTCACTGCATAATATTTTAATTTTAGTAATAATACGATAAATGTAATAACTACATAACAAATGCATTAAATTAAAAGTTTAATTTATTAAAAATATTAATATAATTTGTCATTTAGTAATTGCTAATGTCTTGCAAATTTTAAATTACTATTATTAAATATTATCTTATTATAAAACTGAAAGAAAAAAAAATTGATCTGGCAATGATTCAGTAAAGGTGAAAAGATCAATAGTTCACATTATTTAGCTTGGTATAACTTTTGCAATCAAAACTGCCTCAGAGAACCATTAAAAATAGCATAACACTTATTAGAAAACTGTAAAAATATTTCTCAAAATGAATGTAATAATATTAAAAATATTTTGCAAACTGCTGATACTAAAAGTTCAAAAAAAAAAAAAAAAAGATTCTTTGATCCAAATTAATAAAATAGAAATTGAACCTATTTTGGATTCAAATTTGCCTACTTTAGATTTGTCTACTTCAGATTTGCCTATTTCTATTTCAGATTTGTCTACTACTTCAGAATTATCTACTACAGTCTTGCTTATTTTGAATCTGTTTATTAAAGATAAAGCATTTATTAATCATCAATTGCTTAAGACAATAATTTTATCTAATGCTTCATTATCATTTGTGGAAGTCCCAAAGTAATTAAGTTGTTTAATATGATAAAACCTGAATATCAACTTCCATCTTGTAAATAGATTAGTACAGATATTTTAGATAATGTATATGAAAATGTGCAACGTGGTGTTTAACAATTTATATCTAATTCAATGTTCTTAATACTTTCTAGTAATAGATAGACGAATGTATCAAAAAATAGTATGCTTAATTTTATTGTAACGAATAAAAAGCATAAAAGTCAAATTTTAAAAATAGATAATTTTTCTAATCAATATCATATAGGTAATAATATATTTGCAATATACAAAGAAATTGGAATAAGTTTTGATGATAAATGGATTGTATTTATTTTGAATAGTAGACCTGATTTTAAAAAAGCACAATGTCTTATGCAAGAGGTAAATATTTAATTTGCAAATTCACATAATACGTATATAAATTATAAATTAAAAATAGAAATGTTCTAAAAATTAATGTTATATATATATATATTAGAATTCTAAGATTGGTGGTAAAGTTCTAATGATTCTATGTATGGTACATCAAACTAATTTATTGGTTAAAAAATAGTTGAATCAACATTTTTTAAATCAGTTATTAGGAAAATGTTAATAATTATTAATCATTTTTGAAATTCTAATCTTGCATTATCTAAACTAAGAGAGTTAGTTAGTAGTGTAATGTTAAAACCTCAATATTCATATATTACACATTGGGCAACATTTACAAAAGCATCTAAAATAATATTACAAGTTCAGAAAAGTTTAAAGGTAATTTAAATAATTTATATATGTATTATATATATATTTATTATATAAATAATATTTTTATATAATTTTTTAGGTTATTGCACTTATGCATTCATCTTATCTAAATTCATATTTACAAGAAAATAATATAGTTAATACTATTAACAATCATAAATTTTAGATAAAACTATAATTATTTTATGAATTATTAAAACTGTATGATTATATCATAAAAATTCTAGAAACTGAAAATGCTACATTAGGTCAAGTGGCTGCATTATGGGCATGGCTTCATAAAACTATTAACAAAAGTACTAATCCTATCTATTTAATTACTTAGTTTCTTTATCCGTATCATCATAGAGAAGGACTAAATTGAATTTGGCATTTATATATTCAAGAAACAGCATATAGCTTATTTTGTACTTTTTATTCTAATTATGATCAGAATAAATTTATTAATGAATAGTTAAGTTATTCAAATCAGAAAGGTCTATTTTTTGCAATATCAATCAAAACACCAAGCTTTACAAGATTTCTATTATGATATTGGCATGCTATGCATTGTATAGCTTAAAATTTAAGTAAATTTGCATGTCATCTTTTGTCAATCTCATCTAATTTTGCAACTTCTGAACAGGTTTGGTCTTTATTAGATAATATATATACAGAATGTCATAACCAATTATTACCACTTCGGGCTGCAAAAATGGCACAAATTTCTTGATATATAAATCAAAACTTAAAGAAAACTCAAATTTCTAAAAAATCTAATATGCCAGAAGATAGTATCTCAGATAATGATAATATTTAATAATAATATTGATAAATTTATGATTAATTTGAATCAAATATTTGAAAATTTGATAGATGATATTCATGTATTTGATATGAATTGTGAAGAAATGATTTCTAAACTTGTTGACATTTTTGATTCAAATATTGTTAAAAAATCTTTGAATCAATCGTATGTATAAATTTTGAATAAATAAATAGGATTTTGTATGTTTGCAAAAAAAATTTTTTGTTTATATAATAAATATTTAACCAATTTAATTTCATTATTCAAATGCAAATGCTTAGTTATATGCGACAACAATTTCTCCTATGTAAAAATTTATTATATTGCTCAAATATATTATTAAGTAGTTTTTAGTTAATAACATGACTGATTATTAATAATTAATTATTAATTATTAATTATTAATTATTAATAATATAAAAGGTTCTATCACTAGGTATGCCCTCTACTCAAGTCTATTTCTATAAAAAAAATAATGCAGACAATGCAATAAGTTTTAAACAACAAAGCCTGTGTACCACTAGTTATAAGCTATAAAATGCTTAAACACTGTGGTTTATCAATGTTACAGACTATTATTCAACTATTTAACAAATACCTCAATACTAACATGATATCTAAACAGTAGAAAAATAGCAGAATATATCCTATTTCAAAGAAGTCCAACTTTAATAACAATCTCAACAATACCTGACCCATTAGTCTAATTGAATATACCAAAAAATTATATACAAAAATTCTAACCAATTGACTCTCTAGTATTCTATCATTACACCTAATTCTTAGTTTCTATAATTATGTTACACTACCTAGTAATAGCACTAATACATCTTTACATATTCCAAACAATTTTATTGAAGATGCCAATAGCAATAAAAAACCAATATAGCTACTTTCGCAAGATATGAGCAAAGCATATGATTCAGTTAATATCAATCTTTTAGAAAAATTACTGCATCACATTAAACTCTCACAATCTATAATCTGTACAATAACTAATTTGCTCAAACTATACTCTAATTAAGTAATTACAAACTTTGGATTAACACCATCATACCTAGTAAAAGATAGCATTGATCAAAGAAAAACTATAACTTTTTTACTATGACAAATATACTATGACTCTTTCATTACCCATATACACAAAAAATTCAAAGGATACACATCAACAGTTACATATCCAATTTCTTTATTTTCTGCAAAATATCAAACAACTTATGCAAATATTTTTGTATTAGCATATATAGATGATATATTATGATTAGCAGAATATCAACAACTAAAAATATCATTAATGTGGCATTTACATTTTACCAAATAGCAAACATTAAATAAATCCACAAAAATCGAGTCCAATATCTAACACAAAACATACATACACTTTTATTTTCTTAAACTTAACTATTACAACTCAACTACTTAACATACCCTTAAAATTTCTCAGTTGCTAGTATACTATAATTAACAAACAAGCCATTACAATCAAACTCATTTTACAAGAAACATTTGGTTTAACAAATATAGTTCAAACTAAACAAATAACAGACAAGCAAGTTTCCTATATAATTAATAATATCATTATTCTTATTATCAAATATCATATATATAATATAGTACTCCTTTAACACATATTTAACAAAATTTTATTCAGATATCTTACTACTGCCAAACACAAATCCAAACTTGCATTAACTACTCCAATTAGCACTATGCTGAACCATAATATATATAATATTAAAAACATATAAGATAGCCAGTTATAACATCATATTACCAACTTTTTAATTTAACTAAATACAACAGATTTACTTAGAACTAGTACACATATCTGATTACAACAATTACAAAATAATCTGTGGTTTATCACTAATATCTTATAACATCTACATCTACTAATAGATGACCCAAATAAAAATACAACAGCATATCAAATAATATTACTACTATGACATTTACAATTTACTATTTCTGCATATACAACACTACTACATACACTACAATACTCATATACACCAATTAAAAACATTCTTAAAATACATAAAAACTATAACAACTTTAAAAAACAATTATGAACTAAACATATTCTTTATCTTGAACAATTAACCTTATCTGATAACTCTATACTTTTAGATTGAAAACACATTTTACTAAGACTTGAACAAATTTTTACAGAATATAAACCAAAATAGTTTACAATATTAGAAGACAAAACTATATCATATTCTTTTACAAGAAAACTTAACTCTAATCTGAGTCTTTTACAAACTAACTTCTTATCTTTTACAATCAGATATTACAATTCAAAATTAAAACCTTGACTCATTACTGTTGATTACAATAGTGAACAATTAATAATAGGAAAAGCATGCAAATATAACCAAAACAACAATATTATATTCATTATACACTAGACAATTGAAGCAAATGCACCTAATACAAACCTCTATCTACTCTCATCAATCAATTGTATACCATGTACAGAATGCTTACATAACTCTAACAAATACTAAACTACTATACATTTTTGCTACTTTTTTTACAAAATTTTTTAAAAAAAAACAACAAAATCCTACAAACAAACTTAAACTTAATGTAAATTATACAGATTTTGTATATTCAATTGCATTATGCAACCTTACTAGAATTCCTACAATCCTATTTATTACCTTATCACAAGATTCAATCTCTCTTATTTTTCATATCAATTCAGCTTCTATCAAATTACAACAAATTGAAAATCAAAACACCAAATATACCAAGTTTACTTTTTATACTAATGGATTCATTACTAATATTACTACCAATAGATGTTCAATGAATATCAGATGGATACAAATATATAACAATACTATTTTTGAAACTTATTTTTTTCAAATTAAATTTTGGTCATCATTATACAAAGCTGAGTTAGTATCTATTCTATTAGCTATATGCACATGCTCTCAAAACAGCAATATCTAAATTTATATTGACTCACAATCTGTAATTTCTAAATTTAACAAAATTATTAACAATATAATACCACAACATAAACAATATTCTTATAACTATTAGCCAATATGGCATACAATTATCAACTTAATTAAATTATACAGATACAACATCACATTTCACAAAGTACCAGTTTATAAAGATAACATATTCAATAATAAAACAGATAAGCTTATATTAAACCACAACTCAATAAATTTTCTAGATATACAATACAACAACATTTATAATACTTCATATACTATACAATATAACCAATATACTATTGAACAACCTACCCAATGAATAATCAAAAATATCTGCAATGCATATATAATAGCTATGTGGTCATCTCAAAATTGGATGAACAATATTATTCCTCTATCTTTACAAATTAACTGAGAAGTGATCTAGTTATATCTAAATAACAATATTAACAGAACTAACTCATATACAAACTTTATACTTAGCAATAGTAAATCTTTTAAAATTAAACTACAACTTAACATACTATCTACTCTTTTTCATCTTCACAACTTACACTCAGAAGCAATAACTAACAATAGTTATATCACATGTCATATACCAAAATACTTTTATAATACAATAACCTTTCTTTTAGTAACATAATTCTGCAACAAACTAATATTTATATAACATTACAAGGATATGTGTCTACTAGTCTTA